TTTTTTCCTTTCTTGAAGCTCTTTGTGACTCTTGGAAGATAAGTGTGTTTGTCTTCCACTTGTAAATTTTATACTGATGAATTAATGAAAGTGTTATTGATAAAAAAAAAGAATAGGTAAAGGACTCTTTTTGCAAGTATTTATATAGAAATGTATGCACGAGCATGAGTTGAGCACATGAGAGAGAGGTGGCAAAAAATCACATGTACTGGTATAGAAAGTTTGAGAGGAGGCAAGCTAGGTGAGACGTTAGCAAAAGAGATTGATTTCTCTTCTTCAAACCCCAGGTAGCTTTACATTTTTTTTTTATTTTTAGTGCCCTCATACACAGTAAAAAATGATCTGATCACACACACCCAAGTCACTAGAGTGGGACCATGGAGTGGAAACAAAAACCAATGGAGTACCAAATTTGAAAAGTTCCAAAGCCTTGAAGCATTAATTGAGTTTGTTGTATGCATACTTGTAGACATATTTATGTATATACAAAGTATATTTATACATATAAATTTAAAAAAGGGTTACATGTAAATAATATGAATTTGGCTATATTTTAAAATAATTTTACTTCATTAAACAATTATGGACAATAAGAATGAATTAGAGGTGGGTGGAATGGTGGATAGAGAGAGAGAGAGAAAGATTCCTATTAGTGCATAACTAAAAAAGGAAAGCACATTTTACAGTCTCCTATACAAGCCTTTTTTCCCTCGTCATACCAAAGCTGTACCATGCATTGTGCCAAGCATGCTGGAACCTTGGTCCTTATTTATTTGAAGAAAGTAAGATGAAATTTTATTAAAATCAATGTTGGTACAATTACAATAGGATTACAAGCAAAACAGAAGACCCAGGGGACAGCTGCAACCAGGTACACGACTCAAGGAAGACAACAGAAACAACAACTCTCGCCACCTAAACAAACTCTGGCTTTCAAAGAATGCCCTGACAAATGAGTTCTTGAAGTTTTTATCAAATTGAAACTCAGGATCCAACTCTCACCACCACCCTGCTGACCAGATCTTCTACCTAAAGAGCTTTCAAATAATCTACAGTGCCTCTCCATCCAGATAGACCACAAAACTGCTGCTGCAATAATGGCAGCCCACATAGTCTTTTCCTTCCTTGACAGACCATCCACCATCCAAGCTCGAGCAGTTGTTTTAATTGAATGTGGTTTAACCCAACACAAACTCCTGACCTTGAAGAAATATATCCAAACTTTATACATGAAGGTACAATGGATAAGGACAGAAAATTAATCAAATGATGCAAGTTTCAAAAGTTTTTGGCTTTTTGCCAGGCTAAAGTTGGGAGTATTTGGGACGGGGCTAAGAAGGGGAAGAAGATTAAAAAAAAGCGTCTCAGGTAAGAAGGGCTCTGTGTTAGACAATGGACATGCTGAGGAAATGGATAAAGCTTGAGCACCGCTTCTCATCAGAAATGGATGATTGGGTTCAGGGTGTTTTTTTTATCATTGTATAAAGGCAGGGGTTGGGAGGGTTGTTGGAACTGCATATTATTGTTTGTCTTTGTGTGATTTGTGGAAGGGATCTTCACCATATTTGACGTGAAATTTTCTGTTGTATTTGGGGTGGCATTTTCAGGATGTCATTTTTTTTATTGTAGGGCTGTTTATCTTTTGTCCAAAGGGTTTGATGTTAGAGTGGGTTTGTTCTTTGCTTGGTGATGTGTTATCACCCTGTTGTTTCCTCTTTTCTCCTCTTTCTTAATAAAGTTTATTTTTTATTTAGGTTGTGTTTGGTTGCAGTGCAATTTTATTTGCATTAGTACAAATGCATAGGAGTACAAATGATAAAAATGCAAATTCTCATTTAATTTTGTTTTGGGTTTTACTTTATTTTGATTCATGTGTTAATTTACTTCATTTATACTGCAATCAAACAAAATAAGCTAAACTTTGAAACAAAAATAAGTGAGAATTTACACTCAAATCATTTGTACTGCCATAGTTTTGCATTAGTGCAAATTTATTTGCATCACAACCAAACACAACCTTATCTTCAAAAAAATGGATAAAGATGTGGTCTGTTGTCTCCTCTACATTGCAGAGGCCACACCATGCATCTTGAATCACTAATCCTCTACAGATTAATTTGTCCTCGGTCAAGCATTTCCAATGCTGCTGTCCAACCCAAAAATGCAACCTTTGAAAGGGCCGAGGACTCCCGGATTGCTTTGTAAGGAAAAGGGCTAGATCTTGTGTTGATAGATGATTAACAAATGACTTGACAGAGACACACCCATCCTTAGTCCATCTCCAAATCTTGGTCCTTATGTTATGAACCACAGTTTTTCAAAATTTCCAAATTGTGTTTAGATGGCATTGCCACCCTTCAACATTTGAATCACAATTTAGAATGAAAGTGTCCATTAGGGGTGGCAATTTTCAACCCAACCTGCTGAACCCACCAACCCACCCATTTACTTGGCAGGATGCTGATGGGTTGAATGACCTATTGGAAGGCTTAAATGGGTTGGATTGGATTGGTGGTACCCATTAAACCCAAAAAATAAAGCCACTTTCCTATTCAGGTGGTGGGTCAATAATTCAATTGTTCAAGTCAAACAAGTCAACCTGTGAGGTCATAATTAAATAATAAAAATGGAAAATGGATACAATGCAAAAATTACCAAAAAGATAAGAAGTTTATAAAAAATGGATCTCTTTCTAATATTATATATTCATCATACTAAACAAAATTAAGTGTGATAAAAAGAATTATTTTTTTTAATAATGGAAATGAAAAAAAAATACAAAAAATAATAAAACAATAAAAAAGATAAACTATCTAACCTGTTACCCACAAACTGAGTCAAACGGTAGTTCAACTGATTGGTTAATAGGGCAATCAATTGACAGGGTTGGCCAGTCCAGTCAGCTAGTTCAACATGTAATTGACATTGCATCAGCCCAACCAAACAGGTCACTAAGATGGTGACAGCTTACCAGTCTTTACCGGCCAGTCCGCTAGGTTGTTGCAAGGTTGCTGGTCCAGTCAGCTGATTCAGCCACAGGTTGAAAACACACCTCTACTCTCTCTCCTCTTAGGGCATGTTCGTTTCCTCTTAACTCTTATCTCATAATAGGAATCTTTTAACTTTAAGAGAAAAATGCTTGTTCATTTCATCTTATCTCTTATCTCTTAAAGTGCAATCACACAACTTTTTGTTTTCCAATGATACCCCAAAAAAGACAAACAAAAACTCTCATACATGGGGTCAAAATGGATATTTTGATCATTTTCAGAATTCAGAACAACATTCTCTACATTCAGAGTTCAGAGGAAAGAAAAGTTCACCAATACCAATATACCCCTTAATGTAATTATTGCACTTTCAGATGTCAGATTTCAGAGCAAACGAACAGGCCCTAATTCTTTATTCATCATCTCATTGATTCCCATTTGCCCTTTAAATTAAAATAATGCAATAACTACAACCATTAACTATTTAACTCCATTTAATTGCTAATCCAAATGCTAAACTCCATTTAAGTTTCCCATGTACATAACTTGACAAACCCAAAACACCCAAATGAAGAACAATCATGTGTAGTGTTAGGCCATGTCTTGAAAAGGTATTAAAAATAGGTTGTTTAACTTTTAAGCCATCTTTTTATAAAACTAAAATTGTTAGAATGTTAATGGGTTAGGTCAAGGTGGGTTTGGGTTGATCCTAACCCATTAAGATTCATTTAAATGGGTCATAACAGTTTGGCAGGTTAGATGGATGGGTTGAAACTCAACCCAAATCCAACCCACCCAAACTTGCTCAATTGCCACCCCTAGCATCCATTAAGGGTGCAAGTCAGGTTGGCCCAAAGCTTTTCAGGTTGGGTTTGGGTCAGGTTGGCCCAGTGTTTTAAAAGCACAAGGTGCAAGGGTCAATTTGCATCTGAAGCGTAAAGCGCAAGGTGTGCCTCTTTGAAGCAAGGCACAAAAATTTAAAAAAAAAAAAGTCAGAAAAATAAAAAATGCCAAAAAAATTCAAAAAATATTGAACATAATATTAATAAAAAATATAAACTTTAAATTTTAAAATAAATGTTTTAAAAAAACTATTATCTAAAATTAAAATACATAAACATAACATGTAAAGCATATTCAAATGTGA